TATTATACAATGGGTGAGGAGATCAACGAATGCTTTGACTGATGATTTAGCTAAGCAATGAGCAAATAGTGAAGGTGGTGGTGGAATGGTTGAAAAACCTTGATGATACTATGTGATGCTACAAAATGAAGTCATAAAATTTACGTGATTGACAAGGAATATATTCATTATTATACAATGGGTGAGGAGATCAATGAATGCTTTGACTGATGATTTAGTTAAGCAATGAGCAAATAGTGAAGTCTTGCTTTAGGCTAAGTTGTAATGCTTGTCTTTCTTTTTAGTTTCATTGTAGTCAAATGAGAGATGCTACAATTCATGCCTCTTAAGGGTTGTAGTATGAGTTTAAAGTTCTCTATTATCTTTTGAAGTAATAATATTTTTCTTTATTCATAAAAAAAATTAGTTGTACATGTTAAATGAGTCAACCCTAACATCATATTTGGGTCAAATGGATCAACTCGCGATGTTATAAATAAAGTGATTTTATATGAAAATATTATAATTATTGTAATAAAAGTAATTAGTAAAGAATTATGAGCCCAATTCTTTGTTATTAAAAGATATATTCCCTAGTGTGAACTGCCTTTTTTAAGAAAATTTAAAGAAATTTACTCTTCCATTTTCAATTGGTGTACAATGATATATTGCATGTGCTCGAGGTGTGGCATCTATTGAAAACAAAAAACTTTGCACAAGCATCCAACTAGACATTAAGAGCATATCCTCATGAATTTAACATGTGAAAGAAATTCCCAATATGCGGATAGATATTTTGCTCTTGATGCTTTGTACACATGGACTTATATGGGACCTACAACTTGTGTGCAAAATATTAGCATATTTATTTTTGATAAATTATCCAATCCACTTGCTAAAACTACGATACCAAATTGCCTCAAAATTAAAGAAATCTTGTAGTTGTTTGCTAGTGCCCAAAACACTTTAAATTGGTTTTTATATTCTCCAATAATATCAATTTTAAACTTCAAAAAATTATGTCTATAATGATGATAATCCCTTTGGATTCAAAGTTTGATTCTTATTTGGGAGCATCTATGATTACTGGTAGAGTAAAACAAACAAACTTACAATGAGATTAGAGAGTGAAATAATAGCGAATTGGTGGGTTGGAAGAATAAAAACCCTCTCCCTTGCAGGGAAAATCATTTTGTTGAACTCCATAATCAATTCAATGCGCTAATTTGTGATGAAATCGCCAACAAATGTCAAAGGAACTTTGTGTAGTCAAAATAATAATAGAAAAAAAGCTCATTTATTTGGTGAATTAGAAAAGAGTGTGCATGACCAAGAGATAGGGTGGGTTGGGTATTAAAAATCTCTAATGGGTCAATGAAGATAGTCTTTTTTAAGATTGGTTATAAAATTATCAATGAAGGTAGTGACCTTTGGGTGAGAGTGGTGACAAATATATTAAATATCTTAAAAATATATAACTTTTAAAATGTAAAGAAAAAAAACGGTATTTCTTGGGCTTGGAGGGAGTTTTGAATTATAGATGTCTTTTCTATGAGAGGTGTGGACTGGGTTGTGGAGGATGGCAAATTGATTAATTTATGGAGAGATAAATTAATGGATGAGTTAACGATTAAGAAATTGGTAAATCTTAGATCATCGAATTTTTGAGGATCTTTGTGTTAGTGATTGTATTGTTCATGGAATAATGGTTTGGAAAGAATCACAAATATGTAGTCTTATTCCTTTATCTATTTGGAACAATATCAAAACCATTTTTCTCTCCTCTTACCTTAAGTAAGATAAGTTGATTTGGAGGTTTGATCCAAAAAGGGGAAATTTACTTTTAAACTAGCTTATAATGAAGCATGCTCTTTAACTAAATGTTCAAATGGAATCAATCTATCTTTAAGTAAAATTTAGGGTCTTAAATCCCCCTCCCCAAGTAAATTTTTTGTTTCTCCTCCTCATCCATGGGTTGCTGTCAAAAGCCTTCTTAATTGCTAGGTGTTTTCATATTGATGGGTTGTGCAGCCTTTGTGGCAATGTTTTAAAACTAATTGGAATTGTAGCTGCTTTGACCACTGATTTTTGAGCCAATGGATTTACTCTTCAGACTGAACGGATGACCAATTGCAAATTTTAAAAAATAAAATAAAAACAACTAAAAACACTATACGGGTTGAATAGGACAATGGTTTGACTGCCCAAACTAGTAAATTGCTAACCAAGTCAATGATTATTGGCTAGATTCCGATTTAGGGGTGAAACGAAACCAGCTGGCTAGAGAGTTTATAGGCCAAACTGTCTAATCATCTAAGGCAATGATGGTTCAAAAACCATGATTTGTGGCAAAGATGACCTTTAGTTACGATTTTAAAAATTTATTCTTTTGCAAAACTAGTTTGAAATGTCTTTAAGGCCAAATATTGTGGATTTTAGAGACAATGATAGCTTTATGCTAAAATGTTGGAAGTGGCACAATACGATTAGAAAGAATAATCGCTCAAATCCTTTTTGAGAAGGAAAAATCTAGTTTAATCCTTTAGTCTCTATGGAAGAATAGAAATGATAAAGTCCTTAATAATAAAAGTTTCCCCTTATTTGTTTATTATTAATCTTATTCGCCTTTCCTTCCCTGACTCAAATCTTAGTACTTAGACAAATACTGAAATTATGTGTAATAGAGAACGAAAACCCATCATGTGGAGATGTTCAAATGAGAGTATGACATCTCGAGATGATAACGGGTATTGCTTTATTGCATGCATTGTTAAAAATCATTTTGGTGAGGTTGTGGACACAAATGCCTATTCTATAACACCACTACTATCAACCTTGTTGAAACTTGGGTCGCATAGGAAGTTTATAATGTTGCTTTGAATTTCAGGGGACTCGTTCATTGTCATTTCATGTATAAAGAAGAATGAGGAGGCGTGGAGATTAACCTTCATTATCAACAAATGTCTTAAAATTTATGAATTGCTAAATCACATGATGGTTTATTGTCATGCCTATCGACAAGCAACTCAATAAGGTAGCACACAATAATCTCTCCTTACTTTTCGTTATCGTTTAATAATTTTGTTGTTCGGGCTTGAAATCCTAAGGTTGTGTTTGGTTGCAGTGTAAATTTATTTGCACTGATGCAAAACTATGGCAGTGTAAATTTTGATTTATTTTTGTTTTAAATTTTACCTTATTTTGTTTGATTGTGGAACAAACAAAATAAAATAAGACCTAAATAAGAATAAAGTAAAACCCAAAACAAAATTAAACCAATTTTTGCATTTTTTCATTTGCACTCCCATATATTTGCACTAATATAAATAAAATTGCACTGCAACCAAACACAACATAATGTTATTGTTTAATGATTCTATTGTTCTTAGGGGCTTGTATAGCTCCTTGAGAATTTATCAAAACAAAATTGTTTGAAAAAATTGGAAGTGTTGATTCCAATCGATAAAGATGATGATGCAACGTTTTCAATTTATGTTGTAACGAAAAGACATGGCATTGAAAACTTTAATAGCATTTTAGCTATCATAGTTGAACTCTACAACTTATGATACTGTTCTAACGGTCCATAGCCTTTATTAAGTAGGACCACTCAATCTGTGGGGTCCAAGGAAAAGCATGAATGTACGACGTCCGACGTGCTTTATGTCTAATTATGGAAAAATTCCCGGTTAGCACCCTATACTTTGGGCCTAGTGCCACTTTGGTCCTTGAACTTTAAAGTGCAACAATTCAGTATCCAAACTTTCAAAACATGATGGTCCAGTACTTGCTGTTAATAGACCTGTTCACGGATCGTGTAGCCCAACGGCCTGGCCCAACCCGATCTGATCTAAGTCAGGCTTGGACAAGACTTCAAGCCCGTGGGCTCTGGCCTAAAATATCGGGCCCGACTCGGGCTTTCTCAAAAGAGCCCGACCCAAGCCCGAGCCCGACTTGATAATGTATTATACTAATAAAAATATATTTTATATAATAAAAACATATACATAATATATTTTTCTTCTCATTTTTTCAAGTAATAATGAGACTTTTCATTATTTGTAGGTTTTGAGGTATTTTAGTATAAATAAAACAACTTTTAATTGAATTAAAAAGGAAAATAATATTTTTTTTTTCCAAATTTCTAATCGGGCTTGGGTTCAGGCTCGGGCTTGAACATTTTCTATTAATATAGAGACAAAGCCCGACTCAACCTAGCCTGTGAACAGGTCTAGTTGTTAACTAGCCATTGAGTGGCATTTTAAAAAGACACAAATGCCTTTCGAGTGTTATCTAATATTCTTTATCAACTACCCAAACATTGACAAAAGTTTAACAGTCTCAAATCCATGCCTCTTCTATTCAAGAAAGAAGGGGTCACCAGAATGCCCACTCAAATATGACCCTAGCTTTCTTGAATGGAAAAGGCAAAGATTTATGACTATTAATTTTTTGTCAACATTTAAATGGTTGATAAAAAAAATTAAATAACACTTGAAGGGCATTTATGTTTTTTTTCAAATGTCACTTAAAGACTGATTAACAACTATTTAACGTAAGGTATTGAATTGACACATTTTAAAATTTTGAATACTGAATTATCGCATTTTAAAGTTCAATAACCAAAGTAGCACTAAACCCAAAATACATGTACTAATCAGGAATTTTCCCATCTAACTTCGTACTACATAATTACGTAACTACCAGATTTGATTCACACTTGGAATTTGCGCTTTACACCAACCTCACAATGTATCAATAGCATAAATTTTTTCACGAATGACAATATGAAGTATGGTAGATGTTATCGATCCACGGGTGTAAAGTTTACGCACATGCGCATATTAATTATAAAGTACGTATGGCATATTATTTCGGTGTACGGCATAAGATGCGTATTACACACAATTACACAGAAGAAAATTTTATCTATAAAAAATTTTATAAACAGTGGGTGAGGATGAGAAGAGAACTGGTAGATTATTGCCTATTATGATCCAATTACACGTCTTCCTCTTCTATCGGCCCTCGCCGTCTTTCTGAACTCAAGTCTCTAATCATATTTCTTAATTTTAAATTACCTAATATATATACTGTTTAATTCACTGTGAAAAGATCTTAAATGTATAATCTCATCTCTCTTACCAGAAAAAGAAAAGAAAAAACGGAGAAACGTTTTCTGTTTCCGTTTAACGATTGGATCAAATCATATCGGAGCTCGAATTAGGGTTTCGAGCTGGTTTTCGCGGGAGATTCCCACTTCCCAGGATTTCAACGTTGCGTTATTGTTTGTTAGGGCTTTTCCCCCTCTGAGAAGGATGACTCAATCGACGAGCAGAGCTAGGGTTGTTGGAGATTACATTGTTAGTCGACAGATTGGGTCGGGATCGTTTTCTGTTGTCTGGCACGCAAGGCATCGTGTTCAAGGCACGGAGGTCGCGATTAAGGAAATCGCCATGGATCGCCTGAGCAAGAAATTACAGGAGAGTCTCTTGTCCGAGATTTTCATCTTGAAGAGAATCAATCATCCTAATATCATTCGGTTGCACGATATTATAGAGGTAAGTAAAAAGTTCTTAGCTTGCTTAATTCTCGTGTTTGTTCATTCTTTGCCGAGCCGGTTATCGTCTGCTGCGTTCGTTAGGAAAAGTATAGTTGCAGGAGCTAATAACTTTGTCAGAAACAACAAATTACGAAACTTGTACTATGTACATGCTTTGAAGTTTTAAACACTTCAGTTTGTTGGAGAATTGCGCGAATTTGGGAAATATATTCCACACTGTTTGAAAGTGGTGCTTACGTTTTACTCCATATATGTTCCATTTAGATAAGAAACAGCTGGTGCATTTCATTTTAATTGGTGTTAAACTAAATCGTGCGGGAACTTTAGTAGCGCATTTCATTCGGATTCCGATGACCACGTATAATTGATTGGTCAACCAAGGATCTCTTTTTTGTTTTTGTTTTTTTTTTTTTTTGTTTTTTGTCTTTAAGCGTAAGCTGCACAGTTCATGGATTACTCTGTTTATTATGGCACTCAAGAATATACAGTATACTGTCTGAGTGTCTGGGTTAAGTGGCAAGGATTTTTTTCTCCTTTTTGTATATACATATTTTGGCGATATCAGTATAAGCTATCACTTCTTCCATTATGCTCAAAACCTAGTAATGAACTCGAGGTAGCATAACTGAGTAAACTTTCAAACATGTAATGGTACATTTGCTCCAGTATTTTCTTTTCGTACCTGCAACAGAAACTGGAGTCAGCTTGAGTTTGCCATATTTAACCAATTTAGATGAGGGATGCTCCTGGGGTATTCGATGAAATGGTGATTGGTTTTCTTGTGAAGGATCCCGGGATGATTTAATGCCATCTCAGATTGGACAGAGTGAGAGAGCTGGTCATATTACTCAATCATGGGAGGAAGATTACTGAGGGTGTTCTTAAATGGGATTTATTTGTTCAGCATAATAAATGGTGATCACCACTCCAAGTGACATTCTGAGATCCTGTTTTCTTTTTTGTGTTGGCCTTCTATATCTGCATGATCCCACCTCTCTTCCATACCTCCTGCAGAATAACTAAAAGCACATAAAATGGAGTTATACTTATACCACTTGTAAATTGGTTCTCTTTAAAAGGCTTCCACAATGTCAACCGAAGTTGCTAGACTTTGCTTTAGAAGTTTAGATAGAAAAATTTTTGGTTGTGGATGGAAAAAGTGGGTCTCTGCTTTAGTTTCTTCAGATTTTTTTTTTTTGAAGAAAGATAACTTTGTATTAAACACAAGAAGAAAAAGAGGAGAGGAAAGGTGTACATGAAAGGGTGTGCAAGCCTCAAAGACAAAAAAGAAAGTGGCAAGATTAGTTAGGCATTGTGCTTGCACTAAACAACAAATCCCTTCCCAAACCAGACTTTGCTAAATCATCAGCCAAAAAATTTAGATTTAGATATTTGAGTTATCTTCTTCTTCAGAGTTCAGATTGATCTTTATTAGTCATAAATTGGCGATGTTGGGGCTTTCTACTAAGCTAACAAGGGTATTGAGCCTTTTCCCTCTTGAAGCGGATCTATTATCCACAAAACACTACCCACACTGTCATCCTAAGGACGGATATTTAAATAAGGGAGATTGAGGGAATTTTCCCCTTAAATGTTTATGGAGGTTTCCTCTAGATTAGATCTTTGTGCAGGTTAATAGTTGGGATTCTGGCCTAGATAATAAGCTCTAGCAGATGGTGATGATGATACTTACTGCAGTGAGGTTCTATTGACAATGAATCTTCTGCTAGAGCTGAGGTCATGTTCCTACTGCAAGGGTTTAGGTTATTTATTGTTTTATTTGTTTTGGCTTTGAAAGTTGTAGTGAAAGGAGATTTATAGGTGATGATTGGATTATTAGGGTGTTTTGGGGATTTATGTTGTCTATTGTAGGGTTGTTCCCTTATATCTAGGTTGAACAACTTGTTCAGTTGGATGTTTATCTGCTAATGCCTTAGTGCCCCATTTGGGAGGGCTGGAACACAGTGGCTCTGGCTTTCCGATGTGTTCCCTACACTGACAGCCTTTAATCTATGTATGGCGAAAACTCTGGAGAGCCCAAATTGGCTGTCAGCAGTCATTTTTTTGGGCTGTTTGCTTCAGTCTCTTTAGGTAGATTATCTGGAGCATCTCAAAGCAGCATAACCAGCTTAGCTGAATATTCGGCTCAGCCCTCAGCCCCTCACAAATGGGGCCTTAGTAAAGCGACCAGAATAATTATCAAAAAAAAACTCGAACTTACCAGAATGGAGCAATGGCCGAGTATTGTTAGCCCTGGTTTTTGTCCTCTGTTTTCTTTCTTCCCAATTTGGCTTTTGTGTCATTGCTTTGATTCTTAGCCCTGTGATGATGTTGCCCTTGGTATACCCCCTTCCCCCATCCTGCAGCTTAATCTTGTATTAAACATTTAAGTGTTTATAAACCAGTGAAAAGGGGTTAAGTATTTATACCAGTGGATCTTCCATGTTAGTAGAGAGATTTTGGACCTAGTTGAAGACTAGTCACACTTTGGTGATTTCTTCTCTTCTCACCACATTGTATGAAGTTCCTGAAACTCTCTTCTTGTGTTGTGACGCCTTCATATACCCCATTTTTGATAAACTGAGATCCCTTCATGAAAAGATAAACAAACCACTGTTTTTTACAATAGAAGTGAAAACAACGGGGTGTTTTTGTCTTTTAACATATGGAGTGCTTGAGTAATTAGGGATGTGCCGTCTTTATCATAAATGGGATATTGTGCCCAAGTCACTAGCCATTTAGCCAAGCTAAAAAGCTAATTGGAGATGTGGATTCCATAAAAGTTGACATAAGGGCCCTTCTTGCATTTTGCTGGGAAAGCCTGGATTAGCTCTTAAAGGAGATTCATCCAAAGTATCAGATGCTGTCAGAATGTAAGGAGTGGTCCCTGGCATTTGGTTCGTTATCTATGTGAAATCAGAGAGGTTTTTCTTAATTAGTAACAAAGGAATCTTATTAATTCAGAAAAGATGGTTTTTTGTAAGAGGTTAGTAGCTTCCAATGAGCCAGTCCCACCCTCAACCAGACGCCAATGAAGCCCAATGCAAAACCAGAGAGAGAGAGAGAGATCTTGGATTGATAAAAAAGAAATATCAAAAGAATCAGAGAGATCTTGGGACTTTCTAGGGGCAAATTTTGTGGATACTTAGGTTAAGCAAAAGTATGGCAGATGGTCTTGCCAAATCTGGATTGACAAGACTTTCTTACTCCTTTTGCATTCTTTTGGAAAATCTGGAAGGAGAGAAACAACATATATTTCTTTTCTGTGAAGGTGGGGACATAAATTGGATAGGGAACCTGAAATTGGCCATACAATTATTTGAGCAGATGTCCAATCTAAAAGTGAACTTTGATAAGAGCTGTTTGGTGGGTGTGAATTTGGAGGAGAGAGAAGTAAGTGAATATGTAGGGTTATTAGGGTGTGCAATTTCGGATTGGCCATTGACTTATTTGGGTCTCCCCTTAGGAGATAATCCCATGAAGGACAGCTTTTGGAACCCGGTTCTGGAAAGATTTGAGAAAAGGCTTGCCTCATGGAGGAAAAATGATCTCTCTCTAGGGGGGAGAATCACTTTGATTAGGTCTACCCTAGCTAACCTTTTTGTTTACTTTCTATCGGTGTTTAAGATTCCCATAAAGGTCTCAAGTAGAGTGGAAAAGTTTAATGAGGGATTTCTTGTGGGAACCGGAAGAGGAGAAGAAAGACCATATGGTGAGTTGGGAGGTGGTAACTAGAAGCAAGCAGTTAGGAGGGCTTGGGATTGGGAATATCAGGAAAAGAAACATGGCATTGTTGGGGAAATGGTTATGGAGGTTTCCAATTTTAAGGGACAAACTTTGGACGAAGACTGTGGCTAGTATACATGGGCTGGAAGACAATGACTGGGATCTAGGAATCTTGGCAAGGACTACAGCTGCTTCTCCTTGGAAAGCCATTCATGATTTGCTTCCGGTTTTCTCCCCTTGGATAAGGTATGATATGAATTCTGGTAATCTCGTAAAATTCTGGGAGCAACCTTGGGTTGGGGACTCATCTCTAATGGACCAATTTTCTTCCTTATATGCTTTGTCAGATCTGAAGAATTAACCCATTTCTTCTTTCTTAGTTCCTTCTGATTCTAATTCCGGTTTTGGATGGAATCTAGGGTTGAGGAGAACAATAAGGGATACGGATTTGGGCTGCCTGTCGTCCTTACTAGCCACCCTTGAAAATGTTTTCTTGGAACCCAAGTAAGGATGACTCCAGAATTTGGACCCCATCCTCCAATGGTTCCTTCTCCTGTGTGTCATTTTTTGAGACTTTGGTCCATCCTCCTACTCCCTCTGGCCTTTCCTTCCCTGTTAATGAGATTTGGAGTAAACCCATTCCTCCTCGGGTTGGTAGTTTTTGTTGGGAAACTTTCCCGGAAAGAATAAACACATTTGACTTGCTTCAAAGAAAGAGACCCAATTCTTGTTTACTTCCCAATAGGTGTGTTCTTTGTAAAGCTAATGGGGAAACGGCTTACCACCTTATGGTTACTTGTCCGGTTACTAAAACTATTTGGGAGTGGGCTTCATCCTTGTTTGGATGCACTTGGAATCCTCTCGTGAGTTTGCAAAGCTTGTTCTCTCCTTTGTTCTCAAGATGGCCTAAGAAAAGAGGGAAGATCATGTGGAGAAGCATTAGAGCGGCTGTGTGCTGGTCTGTATGGGAAGAGAGGAACTCTAGACTTTTTTCAGACAAGGAAAGATCTATGGAGAACTTAACTGAATTGATACACTTAAGGGTTAGTCACTGGCTGAAATCTTTGGAGCTTTTTTCAGATTTTTCCATGGCTGATCTTTTGAGAAAGTGGAAAGAAATTGCTACCTCGGCTCAGTGCAAAAGGACCTCTAGACCTTCTTGGTCCCCCCTCCTTCAGGATTCATGAAACTGAATTTTGATGGTTGTAGTTTAAGGAATCATAGGCCTTCTGGGATTGGGGGAGTTTTCAGATATGAGACTGGGATTTTTAATGCTATGTTCTCTGGCCCTATTGGAGAGGGTGACTCTCTTAGGGCAGAGACTTTAGCAGCTCTGGAAGGAATCAAAAGAGCAAGAGAATTAAACATTCGGTGCTTGGTCATTGAAGGGGACTCGGAGGTGGTAATTAGGTGGTTGAAGGAAGACAACAATGGTTTGTGGAGCTACAGAAATGAAAAGAAAAAATTAAATGGCTGAGTAGGGATATTGAGGTGAAGTACAGTTGGGTGAAGAGAAGTGCTAATTCCATGGTCGATGGGTTAGCTAAGCAAGGGGTGCTTAAGGATTCTTTGTTTTGGGCCATTTTTTAGCTTTCTTTCTTGTTCTCTGTTGTGTGGGAGTTAAGATATTTTACCTCCCCTTTCTTGTACTTAAAGTTTCACAATTTCTATAATCTAATAAAGCATTCTGTTATTGATAAAAAAAAAGAAACAACATATATTTTTCAAGGGAAGCGTTGTTAGGCTCAAAAGATAATTAGCAAGATTGAAAGAAATGTTTTCTCTTGGGCCTCAATTTCAAAGGAGTTTGATATCTTTTCCTTTTCTCATTTCCGTAATGTTTGGGACAACATCATCTCTGGTGTGTGTGTGTGCGTGCGCTTGGGGGGGATTTGCAGGCATATTCTATTCTTTCTTGCTAAGGTATCCTTTCGTGTTTGGGGACTAGGGTGCCCCTCCTCTCCTTTTACGTTTTCAATGAAATTCCTCTAATTATCAAACATGAAGAAAAATTATCCATAACTCAATCAAGAAAATAGTGACACTGTTTGAAAATGCAATTTACTTATTTCTGCATATTCTGAATTTGTATCTTTTAAGCTTTATCTCTTTGCCCAACAAATGGAAACAAGTTGGAGGTCAACTATTATCAAATAATGCTAATTTTTATTTATATTTTCATCAAAAAATGCTAATTGGCAATTGATATAATCTTCCTTATTTTCTTCAGGTTCCTGGGAGGATACATCTGGTGTTGGAGTACTGCAGAGGGGGTGATCTTTCAATGTATATCCATCGTCATGGAAGAGTTCCAGAAGCAACTGCAAAGCACTTCATGCAGCAGCTTGGTACACACTTCTCATCTCTCATCTGGTTGCTGCCTTTATTTTCACTCAAGTCTGTTATATGTTGCCAATGAGTTTGTGAGGTAATGATGTAAGGTTTTGTCTTTGCAGTTGCTGGTTTACAAGTTCTCCATGACAACAATCTTATACACCGAGATCTAAAACCACAGGTCCATTTTTGCCTATTTTGCTTCAGATAGAGCACTATATTTTTTGTGTCAAAGCTCAGTCAAGCATTAATGGATATCTTCATGGGAAAAAAGTTAGGGTAAAATACAGAGAACTACCCTGTACTTTGGGGGTAGTGACACTTAGGTCCCCGAACTTTCATTTGCGCCAGAGAGCTACTCTGTACTTTCAAATTCCGACGCTCTGCTCCTGCTGTTAGCATTCCATCAGTTTTGAACTTTTATGAGACCATTTTGCCCTCTCCTTTATTGCATCTCCAAAACCCAAGTTTTGATAATTTCCTATCTTTTTTCTTTTCATTTGTTTAAGAGAGTGATGGAGAGTTGAAAGAGGTACAGTGTCTGCTATTGTTGTTTCTAACCAACAATAAAGGAGAGGGCAAAATGGTCTCATACAAGTTTGAAACTGACAGAACTCTAATGGTGGGAGCAAAGTGTTGTAATTCGAAAAGTACAGGGTAGCTCTCTGTTGCAAATGAAAGTTCGGGGACCTAAATGTCACTATTATGAACCATTGTCTTCCCATCCTGTTTAAAGATTATTAAGTTGGTGTAACACAACTTTTGATGATGTTTTTTTTTTCTCTCCCCTTCATTGCTGTTTTCCTATGGTATGTCGGCTATATGCCTATAGTAACCTTAGGCAATTCCCTAACCCCCTATGGAGAAAAGCCACCCCAAGCTATCTATCAAAAAAAAAAAAAAAAAAAAGAAACAAAACATACATAGCAGAAATATATAATGAGAAGCAAATGAAAAAAAAACTTTACACTGGATAGGAATCACCTTCTACCACAAGTGAAAATATTATACTTTGCTGGTTCCTCTTCCAAGAAATTTGTGAACTATGATATAGTGGTTGGTGTTATACTAATAGAGAGGTTTATTATCTATTATACAACTTTTCTCAGTTATTTGGCATATACACTCTAATGTGCATCATTTTTGGACAGAATCTTCTTCTTTCCACTAACAATGACCAGTCCATTCTGAAGATTGCGGATTTTGGCTTTGCAAGGTATTTATTTGTGAGGAATCTATGAGCTAAATTTGTTGGTATGACCTTTATAACTTGTTGAGTAATCAATTTTAGCCACAATATAAAAATTATCCTTTCTGTTGTGAGGCCCTCTATGATATGTTTTATTCCATGTATATTCAACAGGGTGCTGTGGTGTACATTGTGAATTTGTCTCTTAGTCTTAAAAATTAAAATTTGTTTTGTTATATTATTTTGATAATAAAGTAAAATATATTTTTTATCAAGAATAAAAGTTTACCTAATAAGGTGAATAGATTTCAAAATAAAAGGTTGAAAATAAAAATTTGCATGCTGATATGCCATCCATATTAAACCATCTGCCAAAATAAACTATGTTTGTGCATACTTCTAGAAGTACCGACTTTTCTGGCAAATTGTTGGGTGAAGAAGCATGCAAATAGGAACCATTATTTATTGAAAAAAAATTCAAATTCCAACTTGTGATTCTCTTGGATCTTCTCCTTTTTTTTTCCCTTTAAGATTCTGAATTTCTTCTTATTAGACATACTTGTGTTCTTTTCTCCCTATCAATTACAGAATTAGTATTGTTTTTTGCCTTTTTAAGATGAAGAACACATAGCGCAGATTAGAAACTGGGGGTGGCAAGAAAGGGGAATAACTTTTACAAGGCACCCACCAAATGCAGCCACCTATCTAAAGTTACTCTACAGAATGAAAGAGGCAAGACCAGACACTTATCAAGAGAAAAAAATGATCAATGATTATTGAGTGCTGCCCTTGAAACAATGCCTATTCCAAGTATCAAAACTCACTCAACAACGATACCGACTAACTATCCCTCTCTATCACAATATCAAGGCAAAGTTCATAAGCTCATAGCTCTTCAACCACTGTCTTTGTCCCCATCCATCAAATTCAATTGATTGAGATCAATGGTAGTAGGAGCAGCATTTTTCATAGTTTCTGACAAACCTATCATTCTGTCAAATTTTCCTTCTCTTTCAATTGCATATCCTTCCATTTTGGACTCTGCTACCAGTTGGTGCCTTTTCCTTTATACACTTAAAGTAAGTAGCTCATTGCTTATTCCCTTCAAAAGGAAGAAACCAATTGGTGTAATATGGGAAGGAAAACAGTCCTACTGGGGTGAATATGGTGGGTAAAGAGGGAGAATTAAGATCTGGATTATGAAATAAAGAGATCTAGATCTGAATAGAGAAGAGAGAAGAAAGAGAAGATGCTGGCAAATTCGTTGTTGACAAGGATTTCTTTTAATGTTCTTTGGTCACCGCTGGTTCTGAACACCATTAAATTGAACTTTAAATAAGATGAAATCGTCATATGGTGTGTGTGGAAAGGAGTAATGAGTTTGCAGTCAACTTTTTTGAATTATGTTTCATTTAAGGTTGGGGATGGTGCAATCATAAGGTTTTGGGAAGATGGTGATTTGTGCCCAAGACTTCATAGTTTGAACAGGAAGAATATATCTATTGCTGGTTGTTATGAAGTAATCCAAGGAAGAGTGGTGTTGCATCCAAAATTCAGAAGGCCACTTCTAATTGGGAAGTTGAGGAGTGTATGGCACTTTTAGCAAAATTACAATCCTTTCTCTCACAAAGTGTTTATCAATTTCAATATATTTAGTCGTATCATGCTGGACTGGATTTTTAATAATGTTAATTGCTACTTGGTTGTCACAATATAGATTTTGAGGTCCAGTCATACTTATCTCCAACTCATTTAGGAGTATTCAGAGCCAAGGTAATTCAGCAATACCATGGCCCTGTATTCAGCTTTAGCACTTGATCTAGCCACCATGGTTTGTTTCTTGTTTCTCCGAATAACGAGATTACCACTTACAAAGGTACAATATCTAGATGTAGACCTCCTACCCTCAAGAGGTCCGACCTAGTTAGCATCAGGATATTGGGTATGTTCTCAGGGCTGATTGGCAACGGAAACTCGCTGAAGGCTGAGCTACTGGCATTATTACAAGGGTTAAAGCGAGCCAAACAACTAGGATGCAGACATGTTGAAGTGGAAGGGGATTCAAAAGTAGTAATTTCATGGGCAACAAATAGCAGCCACACCCCATGGACGTTTAAATATGTGATTAGGGAAGTGGAGAAGATTCCCAAGGAGGTTGAGGCTGAATTTAAATGGGTCCGTAGAAGTGCAAATGAGCTAGCTGATGGATTAGCAAAACAAGGGGCATTGAGACAACAATTATTTTGGGCTACATTGTAATGAGGGATAAATAGAGTGAGGAAAAGGGATCAACAGTCCCATCATCAAATTGTATAAAATGTTTACAATCTGAATCTGAATTTTAATAAAACACATATTTACTGATAAAAAAAAAGTATAAGCTTCCACCTCAAATTTGTCATGTTTCTTGAATAATGATCCTTTTCCGGGGCATGTCTTGAGGTATCTCAACAAAGATCTTGCATTACCTTTTCCTGTTTTCTTCTTATAATAGTCTTCAAACCCAAAGTTATTTCTTCAAATTGTTGCTATTTTTGTAAAAATTGCAATTCTATATTTCATCTTAGTATCAGGTTGATGGTCCATCTAAAATCCTTCTGAGAATTATGATCCCTCTTTTTGAAGGTTGTCCAACACTCCAACATCTATTTGAGTATGTCCAAATATGTTTTTTTTTTTTTTCAATTCAAATTCAAAAAGTAGAGTTTTTCAATTGCAGGTCTTTACAACCAAGAGGCCTAGCAGAAACTTTGTGTGGTTCACCACTCTACATGGCTCCAGAAATAATGCAACTCCAGAAGTATGATGCGAAGGTGATACTTGCTACTTTCCATATGCAAACTCTCTTCCAAGTTCTTTCTGAAGATTTGATGTGGCTCACCTTGAACTGGATATGCAGGCAGATCTCTGGAGTGTTGGCACTATCCTATTTCAGCTTGTAACTGGGAAGACCCCATTTACTGGAAATAATCAAATACAGGTTTGAATTTTTTCACTAGTTCACATCTTAGTAGTTAGTATTATGCCTGGAATTTGGTAGGAAAAGAAGCAATTTTGCATGCCACTTTCACAGGATCCATAACCATGCAATCTCCTTATTTCTTGTGATCAGTTGCTACAAAACATTGTCAAATCAAATGAATTGCGCTTCCCTCCAGATAGTAATGATTTGAGTGTTGACTGCATTGATTTATGTCAAAAGCTGTTGCGCTGTAATCCAGGTATGCTCCTTACTTCAATGGAATGTGTGATTGGTTGAGGGAAGAAATGTTGGTTTGTATGAGAGAAGCTGAAAGTCAAGAGTTTCCTTTTTTTTTTTTTTTTAATTTTCTAAAAGAAATGTGATTGGGGACAACTCAAAATGACCTTATCTTTTTTTCTTTTGGTAAACAAATAGCCTTATCCTGACCCAATGATGCAAGCCTGTTTGTGTTACCACTCTATTGAAGGCAATATTCATTGTTAAGTTGTGACCCTCAAATCATTTCTTACTTCCTCCATCCATGACCTTTTTGTCCTATCTAGCTCTTTTTGATCCTTTTACTTGCAACAGATCCCTTCTTCTGGATGCCAAACTGTTTTCCTTTCTAGGTGATGGTTCAATGGTTTGACCGTTTGAGTCACAGTTTGACCTGAAATTGAATTTTTAACAACTGAAGTACATATTTCGAAAACCTAAAAAAGTACATAAATAAAAGAGGAGAACAATGATCTATCAAAAAAAAGGAGAATAATTAGCCCAACCACTAGGATGGTCCAATCTGATGATTGATCGGGGGCTGTAAGGTGTTTTTAGGGCCCCCCTAAAAAAATCTATTCTCAAAAAACATGAAGAAAATTCCTCCCCTCTGAAGTAATTTAGGTTGGAAATCCAGCATTTAAGCATTTGTATTGACTTATTAATTATCACCTCCTCAGGGTTTACTTTGTGATAAAATATCCTGCCAAATAGCCTATAAGACTGCAAGAGGCACTGTTGCCCACAAGGCTGTAAGATGGTTTTGTGCTATCAGGAGAACAAAAATGAGGGTCCTTGGATGCTTTGACAGCTGATCAGAGAAGTCATTGGTCCATTGCATTGGCATCCAATCCGAACTGCTTGTTCAGATGGACACCTCAATCCGCTAACTCAATAGCTGATGCTTTGGCTGATGTAGTTCTATGTGAATGCTAACAGATTCATTGGATTGTCGGCTTCCTGCAACTTAATGCATGGATTAATTAACACAGCACATGACACAGGGATTGTAGAGAAATGCAGAATAACATACAAATAGAAATGTAGAACAACTTACAGATAACAGATTGAAGGAAAAGAAAAAAGATGGGGAGTCCTTGCTGAAAGCTTGTAGATACTCACCAAGATTCTCACAACACTTATTTTTGTAGACACTTAAGATGCTCACAATACTTATCTTGCAGACACTAAAACAGACCTTGAGAAGATTGGAGGTCTTTGTTCCAAACTTAATAGCCCTTTTTATCTAAGTAATGCCTTATTTATAAGCAGTGTAGGAGGCTTCTTAAAATCTGCCAGGTTGGAAAACCAGATTCTTTCTGATCTTCATAAATGTTTCCCTTTGGCTATAATGGCCTCTTTAGGTCCAAACAGATTTTATGTCGAGTTTGAATGACTACCAGTGCCTTTAGTCACCTGTTACATGACCAACCAATCCTGTAGATCACACAAGATTCCCTGATACGATCAGCTTTAATTTTACTTTTAGTCATTTTATGTCTGTATATTCTTTGATTCTTCAACTAATTTTAGATGAAAGTTCTTTGAACCTGGTCACCTTCTTAGGTTTTCAACCAGAAAATTGCTCTAATTTTGGCTTGAGTAAAACTCAGTTCTTTGAATCTAGGGGTTGATTGCCCTTTCTTCTTCTAGGAATCAAAAGGTCTTGGAGGTGTGTTCTCCCCCAAGTGAAAGTTGGATGAAACATAACTTTGATGGAAGTAGTTTTGGTAATCCGGGTCCCTCTGGAATTAGAGGAGTGATTAGGGATGGGAGTGGGAACTTTTGTGGCTTGTTTTCAGGGCCTATTGAGTAGGGTGATTCAGTGAAATCTGAGTTCATGGTGGCTATTGTTGGGGTGCAAAAAGCCAAGGAAATGGGGATTACAAGATTGATAGTAGAAGGAGACTCAAAAGTAGTCATTGGCTGGCTGAAAAAAGGAGAAGGGGTGTTGTGGCACTTCAGAAATGAATTCAGGCTGTTCAAGATGCTGTCAAAACATTCAAATTCAGTTAAGTTGGGTTAGGAGGTCTGCTAATGGTTTGGCAGTGGATTAGCTAAACAAGGAGAGAATAGACATCATTTGTTTTGGGCTCAATGTTGGTTGGGTGGTGGGATTCTTTGCTGTAATGGATGTTATTTCTAACAACTTGTTGTACTACTCTCTTTTGATGATATAATAAAATTCTTTGTGTTGCTGATAAAAAAAAGAAAAAAAAAATCTCAGTGAGCATTTATTTCCCACTCCCTTTATCATTTGTTCGTTTTAGAAGTTAAGTTTATAACAGAGTAATCATCCTTGTTGCTTTAGCTGAGATTGATTTTAAGCATTCATTATCACTGTTGGCACACTTATTGGAGCTTAATAGTCTAGAAGCCATTAGGTTGACTCTATCATTTGAGAGATTTGAGAAAATTTCTCTGAAATGCTCCATATAGGCTTTATCTAGTTGCTCCATAACTTCATTTTCTAATAATGGCTTCTTGTTAAGTAGTTCTGCCAGGTCAAATTTATCCCACCATTTAATTATCAAAAAAAAACTCCCACCATTTTATGTGGATCTGCCTTTCAATTGGAAACCATGAATTGCCTATGGAATAATTTCATTTTAGGTTCTATGGTAGCTTATTTTCAATTAAGAAATCTATCTATGTGACATGAGGAAATGATTTAGTTCCTTAACAGATTTTTTTTAAATTTCTCTAATACTTCTGGTAGAAGAGTTTCATTTAGAGCACCAAGCCCACACTGGAAAAACCATATCAAAATCTTCTGAGAATCTAATGAACCAAGAGTGCTTTTAAGCACTATTTTGAGTCAAGAATATTTTATGACATGTTTTCATGTAATTCCAGTAGTTGTATTGTTTGGGATGTCTTCCCATTAGTTGAAGTAGGTATGCCTTTCTGGTGCTCCTCATTTTTCCGTAGTTGAAAAATTTGACAATGACTAGCTTAGAACAAACTATCTCTGTTTATTTTGTCCTGATAGAAATGTTGGATTTGGGATGATCCATAACCTGCGATAATTACCTCATAGTAATGTTTGTCTTTTCCAAGAGAGCAAAATTCAAGATGTTGTCCTTCAAAACATTTAAGGAATATCTTATGAATTTCTTGTTTTGATTTTTTTGAAGATTAGTAAATAATAAAATTTACTAGTAATAATAAAGAGTACAAGAGGAACAGGTGACATGGTATAACCAACCAAACTACAGAAATACACTCAGAAGATTAAAAAACTGAAGAACTTAAAATATCAGTTGAAATTCAAAGTGTGCCAGATGTCCGGGCCAATGTCTTCTTTTTTGAGGTCTTCATATTCTGGAAGAATTAACATCAAATGCATAAGCTTTGAACTAATGACTGGAACTAGCCTTTCCTTGCTCTTCATCTTCCCTTCAAAGATTCTTTTATTTCTTTCCTTCTACACTTCCCAACAAACAGCAAAAGGGATGCAGCTCCATAAAATTTTAGCTTTGATGTTCCTAGAAACTCTTGGCCATGAGCTGAAGATCTCCATAGACCCATTAGGAGATCATCCACCCATTCTGAAAAGCTTGAAGAAATAGCCCCAAATTCCTTTTGCAAAACTACACCTCGCCAGCAAATGAAGCTGCAGATTTGAGAGGACAAAGCCTGTCTATGAGATATTAGTCAGATAAGAAGCAGTTTTTCCTCGGACAATGTCTGTTGTATTATCATTCTTATTTTTTGAAGAAGGTAAAGTATACGCTCCTTCTCTAGAAATAGTTTCTGTACATCATATACACCCATTACGACCCCCCAAAAAAAGTCTGTTTTCAAAAAAAGAAGAAAGTTCCTCCCTACTAAAGCATTTAAGATTACAAATCCAGCTCTTGATGAGATCCACTGAAATGTTAATTACCATCCTCAGGGTTAGCCTTGTGTTCAAAAAAACTATTACTCTCCTGCCTAAGGGCCCACAAGACTGCTAGAGGCACAACTGCTTAGCAGTCTTTCCCTTTCTTAGACATACCTTGGATCTGCCATCCTGACAAAAAGTTTCTTACTGAAGCTGGGCATCACCAGAATACAGGAATTGCCTCATAAAAGTGGTTGCCATACTCTGTAAAAGTAGTCACAAAAAAGAAATAGATAACTTAGAGATTCTGTCTCTATGTTACATAAAGGACAGAGATTATCTGGCAGGCTTGCTTCCTCTGCAATATTTTTCCCTTGTTAAAATATTTATTCAGAGGATTGGTTAATCCTTGTTGGAACCCTTCTGCTACTGTTGTTGCTGCTTGTCATTCTTTCCCTGGAAAGAATTTCCGATTTTGAGTTAAAAGGAGAGAATTATTGTCACTTTTGATATATTTGATTTTAAAATCAAATGCTGACAGTATTGCCTACCATCTTGCAAATATCTGCTTAGAATCTTTAAGCACTAGATTTCTAGCATCCGTATTTATGATCTCTTTTTGCTAATCAGCAATCAATTCTTAGTATGAAATTTATTTATGCAAGTTACTTTGGAATTTAGCGAAACATGCTACACTGATGAACATTTTCTTTTTGACCATGGAATAATTTTTTCAGTCATTGTTCATTCCATGTTCCAGAAGTAAACCTGACTTATCTTTTCTTTATCATTTATACCTATTTTAGGATTCTACCATACCCTAGGTCAGAGGCATTGGTTTCCATTATTTTAGGTGTTTTTCGATTAAGAACATTTAAGCATGGTAATGCTTTTTATCCTTTGTTTGATTTTCTTGACTGCTTGGGTAAATTCATCAACCCATTCTGGTGAATTTTTTCTTAGCCTTTTTAATAGCAGTTGCCTATCTTTTGCTAGTTTTTTATTATAATCTACCACATATTTTAGGCATCCTAAAAGTCTTTGCAATTGCTGCTTCCTTTTATTTCATCAGGAAATTTGTCTGCAGACTCAGGGGCCTTAGTAATTGGAACTATGGTGCCATTAGAAATACCATGGCCTAAAAACCTAATTTGAATTTGCAATATTTTGACCTTTTTGGCTGACACAGACAATCCATTTCTTTTTACTGTTTTTAGAAATGTATCTAGATGTTTCCAATTCTTTTCTATAGATGGTGAGAATACCAAACCATCATCTATGCATACTAAGATGAAATCCATATAAGGATTAAATATATCGTTCATTATGTTTTAGAATTCGGATAGAATTCTTTAATTTGATGGGCGTAACATTCCATTTGTAAATGACCAGGTGGAACTGTGAAAGCTGTCTTGTAACTATCTTCTTCAGCTACTTGCATTTGCTAGTAGCTTGATTTCATGTAAAATTTTGAAATTATTACAGATTTATAAAGCCTATTTAACAGGTCTTATTTATTAGGCTTTTAATTAATTACTAGTAAGCAAACACCTCTTTCTATCTTTGCCAGCATTTTCTACATAAAATGTAGGGCAACTCCTAGAGATATACTTGGTCTTATTTGACCTTTATCCGATAATTCTTGTATTTCATTTTGACAAATTTCTAGTAATCTATTATTCATTTGTATAGGCTTTGCCTTTTTTGGGGTGTTTCAGATGATAACCCTTAATTTAAAGTTCATAATGAAGAAGTGCACATGAGAATCAAGTTACTTTTATTACTGATAAAAAAATCAAGTTACTTCTATTGAAGAGTATTTGATTTTGTTAGCTTCTATTCTAGTGAATTTCCATCTGTTGTGACAAGTGGAACTAATGGATAGAAAATATTTCTTTTGAGATCTCCTTTCCCGATAAAATGGTAACTAAAAAAGATGAAAAAAATTATTGCCCCAAAAATTGGAACTTGTCTTTAATCATCTCAATGGAGGATACTTTATCTTTTAATCATGAGCAAGATCTATAAGAAACCAATTCCATGTTAAGGTCTTGTGCTTGTCTTAGGTTGGAAGTGTTTTTCAAGTTAGCACATGAATATTCCACATATCACCATGACCACCATTTCCTATTTGATGTTCCAAACTGATGCTTCTGGCAGTATTTCTCTCAGTTTATCCACCAATCACAATGGGGGAGGGTGAGTACCCTGTGATGGTAACTACTTCTTGCAGGCACCCTTAGGCATTTGAAATCTGCTTTATATTATTATATGATTATATCTAACATGAAAATGCCTCATTGCATCTATGCCTGAGTGTATCTTACCAAGACCCCTACACTCTCTCTTTTTGTATCTATGCACAGAGGATAGTGTTGTACAGACTACAGAAAAACATGGGCCACTGCACAGTGCCTTGTGTAGCATGGAATACTTAGCTTTTATTTTGAGCAATACAATACTTTACCTCCCCCTCTCTCTCTCTCTCAAAAAAAAGCCTCAGTGTAGGGGTCTTGGTAAAATATATTTAATCATTCTCTGGTCCATCAACTCAAAATATGATAAGGCAAAATGGTTAGTAACTGATTTGGAAAAGAGGCAAAAGAAGAATAAAAGCAAATAGCTGGGAAACAAATGGAGAAAAACAAATAATTAGGGGTTTAGGCCTGAGCTTGTGAAAGAAAAAGGATAGGAACCTTAGACTTGAGATGAGTTGGAATTCCACTTTTATTATTGCATTCTTAAATATAAAAACCTTCTTTTTAATTTCTTACATCTGTGCCTACAGTGGAAAGATTAACATTTGAAGAGTTCTTTAACCACCCATTTCTTTCCAAAAACCAAATGATGGATTCATTAAGGTAAACAAAGCTCTTCAGACTTTTTTATCATTCTACAACCTCCATTCTGTTTTGTAGACATTAAAATGATGAAATCCTCTGTGAAATGCAGGAGTAGGATGGTCTTAAAGGCAAGAGATTGCATTCCTTCAGCTGAATCCAGTCCTGGAAGGCACACAGAAGAAAGCTCTCAAGATGATTGTCTTCCATTCCTTCTAGATGATGATTGTAGTGGTCCTGATGGGAGCCCAGCCTTTACCACAAACAAGGCCTCAATGAGGTCTACATATGGGTTTTCTCTTGACACAAAGGTGGAAAAAAGGGTTCCAGCTTCTACCCTGCCCAATAACATGGATATTGCTTTGAGATGTGGTAGTATCACACAAAAACTAGAAAACACCTGGTCCAAGGTTGATCAACATAGGCATTCAGATGCAAGCATCAAAGGGTCTGCTACAATTAGGGACCAAAGACAAATGAAGGCTGCACCCAAAGGTGATGGGATTTCCAATTATGTTCTCCTTAACTCTTCATATCCATATTGTTTTACCAAGGTTCATGATTTATTTTGTTACTTTATGTTCTTTTTCAGTATCTCATTTTCATGGATTTTACAGTTCTGGATTCACTGGAATTTATTGATCAAGAGTACGTCCTTGTGTCTGGACCTCCCATGGAGACATCATTGTTGTCATTAAGTGCATCGAGGCCACACCATTCACCATGCAAATCAGAGAATTCCCCAATAGCGTCTGCAAACAGTAATAGTGCATCAAGTTCACCAATGCCAATAATTGGTGCAGCAATTAGAAATCCATCTTGTGTTGGAAGCTTGGAGAGTCGTAGCTCTGCCCCTTCTGGGACTTCACAAGGATCCATGGATATGGGCGAAACTTTGGAGCAGCCTTCTGTTCATTGCCTGACAAGGATTAGGTCATTGCAGAAGTGTGCATATGCCATAACAGAATTAGTAAATGAGAAGGTAAATTTCGACAGCACTATTTGTCCCAGGCTTATTGCAGTGAAATGATAATGCTTAGTGTTCCCACCAGACACTTGTTAAAAAAACGAGATCAGAGAACAAAAAGAAAAAAAAAAAATCCTGTCTGAACTGTTAGTCCAGGTGGATCCCTAGGACTGCCAATGGCTTGGAAAATTGTAAACAGAAAATATATATGTCACACCAGCTTTGAACTGCTTGTAAACAGAAAATATACATGTCATGAGGCAGAGTCTTCTTTGGAAGATTTCCATTGTCTTTACCCATGTGCAACTTTAATCTATATATTCTCAAAAGTCTTCTCCTTTGACCTGCTTTTCTCATTGAAGATTCTCCCATTTCTTTGCTCCCCTATAGTCTATACCACTGCTGCCACAACTGCATTCCACATAATTCTCCCTCTCTTCCTTGGCTGTCTTAGGAAATTTGGATTGAAGAGTCTCTCTGCATCTTGGGGGGAACCCACCCACAACCAAAGAGCGAACAGAAGTACTCCCAAACATAGCTGTCAAGGTGACACCTAGGTGACAAGGCACCCTTGGACGCTCACCTCGCCTAATCGCCAAGAAGTTTTGAACACAGTGTTATAGAATACTTTTTATGTTCTTAATTTTTGAGGTTATAATTATAGAATAAACATTATTAAACTAAAATATTTATTTTGTGTTTATATATTCATTTCTTATTTGTTAGGGTTTAATCAACACAAACAATGCTAAATGCTGTATTGAACCCTCAAAGACTTCAAAACCTGAACCAATAAGTAAGGAAGAACTTAAAATGTTGTCTAATCAACTTTTTTTTTTGATCTCTAATGAATATATTTTCTTGTCTAATCAAACCCAACAATGCTAAGTAAGGAAGAACATATTTTCTTCTTCCACCTTTTCTTTTCTTCTTTTCCTACAACAAAAATAGGGGTTCAACCCCTATATTTTTTGAAATTTCTTTGTTCTTTTTCTTCTTGGAATATGTTAATTTTCTATACTTCAACATGAAGTTTATACTTATGAAATTATGGATAATTATTAAGGAAATTGGTTATGGAATCTAGGGAACTACCCTAGGACATATGTTTTTTACTTAAAAAAATCCATTGCCTAGGTGACAAGGTGCCCCCTTGTTGCCTAGTCTCACCTTGGTACCTTGAAAAATATGCTCCCAAACGCAATGCATAAAAGGCTGATAGAGCAACCTTTCAAATTTATTGCTAAGGTACTGTCCAAAAGTCTGAGAGAGGCACTTATACCACTAATTTCTCACTTTCAAGGGGCTTTCATTAACGATAGCCAAATAATTTGTCAAAGTCTAATAGTTTGGGTGTGCAAATTAGATATAGAAAAAAAGCATATGTTAATGTTGACTGGTCCTCCTCAATGGATGGGTTTGACAATGTGAATTTAGAGATAGATGAAAATTGTGGATCAAAGGATGTTTAAAGTTGATCTAATACTATGTCCTAGCCAATGGGGTGATTAAGGATTTCTTTCTAGCTAAGAGAGGACTAAGATGAGGAGACTCCTTATCTCCTTTTCTTTCACTCTATTCTCTAATTGCTGATATAATTTCTAGGATAGACAGCTTTGGACTTATTAGAGGGTGGAGAATTGGTAGAAGGCAGATTGTGATAACACACCTATAATTTGTAGATGACATTGATTTTGTTCTGTGAGACCATAGTTGTAAAGGTGACACTTAGGCGACAAGGCACTTACGGAGGGTCACCTCATTTAATTGCCAAGCTAATTTTTGAGATAATAATAATAAAACAAACATCGTTAAACTAAAATATTCCCATTTTGTGGGTTTATATACTAGTTTCTTTTTATTATTTTCTTATTTGTTAGGTTTCAATCAACACACGTATTGCTGAATGCTGTCTTGAACCTTCAAAGGCTTAACAATCTGAACCAATAGGTTATCTGTGTTCTTGGTTAAGCGTATAAAGGGATTATAATGGTGTCCGACTTTTATCTTTTTTGCAAGCTGGAACTTTTTTTAACTGATTACACAGGTCTTTTTGTATATTCCCCAATGTACAATCTCTCATTGTACATAGGCCAATGTATTTGGATCTCTTTCTTTTGCAATATAATAGCTTACCTTCTTCAAAAAGAAAAAAAAGTGAAGAACTTAAAATTTTGTCCAATCAACACATTCTTCTTCTTCTTCCATCTTGCCCTTTCTTCTTTTCCCACGAAAAAAACAGAGGCTCAATCCCTTTATTTTCCCCTATATTTTTTCTGAATTTTCATTTTTTTTTTCTTTTTTTTCTTCTCATGAATATGAATATGCTGGTTTTCTATACTTTCATATAAAGCTTATACTTTTATGAATGAAAATTATAGATAATTATTAAGGAAAGATGGTTGCTAGTTGCTATGGAACCTAAGGAACTAGCATAGGATTCATGTTTTTTATTTTAAAAATTCATTGCCTAGGCTACCCCTTGTTGCCTTGCCTCGCCTTGGTGCCTTGAAAACTATGGAGAGGGGAGAAGAAGGGGTTTGGAAAATGCAGCAGCTAATAGGATGTTTAAGAAGATATCTAATTTTTGAGAAAAATTTAACCAGATTTTATTAAAGAAAGAAGAGGTACATGAGAATTACAGAGGAGGAAGCTTGTCGCTATACAATTGATCCAAAAACATGCCACATTTGGCTAAGCCATCTGCTATATGATTTAGTTCCCTAGGAATCCAAGCTAATTTTACATTTAAACAGTCCACAGAGTCCCTTGCCTCTGCCAAGTAGTGGCTCAATCTCCAAGGTCCCACCTCCTTGCCCATTTACCATTTTATAGTATTTGCTGAATCACCTACAATAGTACAATGATTAAGTTCTGGATTCCCTGATTTTTTATTATTCTGATTCCTGTAAGATCTGCCAGCACTTTAGCCTTTGTGGAATCAACCAACCCAATTGGACCACTGAAGCCCAGCAAATGTTGCCCCTTTCATCCCTAACTATGCCTCCAATTCCAGCTAAACCAGAGTTAATGTCTGAAATTAACTCCTCCAGGGGCCTGAATTTGTTGTCAAAGAGACGTTTGTTTCTTTCATCCCAGACTCCCACAATACTGCACGTAGCACAGATTGCCAATGAACTTTACCCCTTTTACTTAAACCTGTTCCTTGCCACTGATGCAGAAGGTCCAGAATGTGCTCTGATATAACCTAGCTGTAACCTGCCATTTTCAAGTGGAACCAAATGCTTTGGGTGAATTTGCAATGATGAAATGTATGATCTGCTGATTCACCTCCACTGAGACATAGAATGCAAACATGAGGAGAGATAGACAATCTTCCCAAATACTTCTTCTGTAAGAGATCATGAGTATTTAATTTCTGAAGACAAGCTTCCCAGACAAAGAAGATATCTAATTTGAATGTGAATTTCAAGTAGAGCTGTGTAGCAGGTGCTAATATGGGAGTAGAAGAGCTAGGGAATTATGCAACTATTTTGGAGTATGAGAATATTCAATGGTCGTTGAAGTATTTGGGTCTCTCATTGTGTGGGTCTTAAATCTAGAGGTTTTTTGGGACCCAATCCTACATAGGTTCAACAAACAGTTGGCTAGTTGTAAGAGAGCATGCATTTCCTAAGGTTGGAGAATTGCCCTCATTAAATTGACTTTGGCCAATCTCTCCATTCACCTCTCACTTTCAAAATACTGGAAATAGTGGCAAATGACCTAGAAATAATAAGAGGGACTTTTTGTGGGGATTGAGAGAGCAGAAAAGGTCATTTAGTCAATTGGACAATAGTTTTAAATGCAAAAAGATAGAAGTTTTTTTTTTGAAAGGTAAGGTAAAGCTTTATTAGAACATCACACAAATATTACATCGGCTCCCAAGCTACATTAGACTTGGCCGGAAAAGCTGAGACAATTACAGATTACAGATTCCAAATGGAGTGTGTTCTTAACAATTGAGATACATTCATATTCTTAAACTCAGCATTCACACAGACACAGGAGATCAGCTTGCAAACAGCAAAGTGAATAAGGTCCTCTTAATTCTTCACTTTGTTATTGAAAATCCTATTGTTTCTTTCAGCCTAGATGGACCAAAGAACAGCAGCATGAACAGATTTCCACACAATCTTTCCTTCTTTCTTCAGTCCTTGAGCATTCCAGCTGCACAGCAACTCCTTAACTGAATTTGGCATTACCCAGCTCAGTCCAGCAGCCTTGAGAAAGTGACCCCAAGCCTTAGAGGTGACAGTACAGTGGAGACTAAGATGGACAGTGGTTTCAGGCACAATACCACAGAGGCCACAAGACTGATCCTGGATCTGCAATGCCCTTCTCTCTAGATTTGATCTTTTGAGACACTTGTCCAAAGTCATTGCCAAGACTAGAAAAATCACTTTTGAAGGGGGAGCAGGATTCCAAATCTGCTTCCAGGGAAAATCTGAAATACCAGATCTGTTTTACTTAGAGGCCAAAGATCTAACCATGAAGCAACCATCACCATTCCACTTCCAAAACCACTCGTCCTTCTTGCTGCAGACAATTTCCTGTCTCTAACAAATTCAGCAGCTCCACTACTTCACCTAATTCCCAATCAAACAAATCTCTTCTGAAAAGAGGATGCACATTGAAAGAGAAGAAGGTAGGTCAGACTCTAGGATTTGGGGTCCTAATTCTGATGGGTCGTTTTCTTGTAAATCCCTTCTACAATCGTTGGTTGCCACTCCCTCTTTTCATCCTTTCCCAGTCAAAGAAATTTGGTGCCCTCCTACTCCCCCTAAAATCAGTGCTTTTGTTGGGAAGTATTTCACGGTTGTATTAATACCTTTGATGTACTTCAAAGGAAAAGACCAAATTGGTGCTTGTTCCCCAACTGGTGTGTCCTGTGTAAGTTGAGTGGTGAGACTACTTTCCACCTTCTAATATCTTGCCCTTTTGTTAGTTTTATTTGGAATTGGTTTACTTCCCTTTTTGGGTGCAGGTGGTCTTCTCCTGACAGGTTGGAAGGT